AATCTAATTTGTTTTTATTTTTGTTTAATTTTTTATTTTTTATTTTTTGTTTTTTTTAGACATGGGGTTTCTCCACGTCGGTCAGGTTGGTCTTGAACTCCTGACCTCAGGTGATCCACCCACCTTGGCCTCCCAAAGTACAGGGATTACAGGCATGAGCCACCACACCTGGCTGTGAGTCTAATTTTTAATATATATAACCGGTAATCTTAACAGAGCAAATTTTCCTCTATTAAAAAATGATAAAGCTTGATATTTAAATAAAAATAGATATCATAATAAATACCCCCAAATCTCAGTATGGAACTGTTTAAAATCTACATGGACCAATCAAAGGCTTGTGTAGCATTTTTAAAATGAAGCTTATATTTACTTTCTGTGCCGAAAAAAAAGCACAGATTTCTTGAGTTTTTTTTTAACACAACCTTTCCCAGATGTCCCACTGTGACTGAAATGAACAAATATGCATTCTGATGTACTTTTAAAAATTGAAATAAAAATTACAATTTCACTGGTCACTTGTCTTTATTATGACCCTCTACTATTTTTAAAATGTTGTTTCAGAGTTCTTGAACTTTATTTTGGGCAGGAACTTGATAATATATCATATTACCATAAAATCTTCCAAGTCAGTGAATAAAACACATAAACAAGGTTGCTGGACCTAGAAACATTTTGATAAAGATCAGTTCCACAAAGTCATTTTGACAGAAGCAAACATACTTGAGGTGATATAATTTATTACTTCCTCCTAAGCAGGACAACTTCAAGACATATCTGTGAAAGGAACGAAGTGAACTAGGCAGGCTGTTTAAGCACAACACGGTGAGGAAGCTTCTTGCTGACAGACAACCCAGGTCTCAGGTTCCCAGCCCTGCCCCCTGGCCCTCAAAGACCGTCATGGTCATCCATGAGGATGTTTGTGCTTGAAGTTCCCATGCAGTGTTTTGGGTTTGCTGTCTTTTGATCTGCTAGATATAGGCCCTCCCTAACTTCTGCCTACACCTCTGGGACCTCCATGGGGTAGGTGCAGAGGGTCCCAGTACTGCGATGCCACTTAGCTCCGATGCTGTTGCATCGTTGAATGGCATCGACATTCTTGTTCTTGTAAAAAGCAACAAGCTGTGATCACAGGTAAAACCCAACACATTTACACATATTCTTGTTTTAGTTGAAAAGCTATTGACAGGGTGATAGGAAGCAGTTTCTTTTGTTTACAGTGGGCTGTTTGGGAAAGCTCTGCATATTTTTTTTTTAGACTTTATACCCACTGAATAACAATTGCCCACTTACCCTCCCCCAAAATCCCTGACAACCACTATTCTACTCTCTGCTTCTATGAGTTCAACTATTTTTCTTCTTAGAGACAAGGTCTCACTCTGACACCTACGCTGGAGTGCAGTGGCACAATGAAGGCTCACTGCAGCCTTAACCTCCTGGGCTCAGGTGATCCTCTGGCCTCAGCCTCCTGAGTAGCTGGGACCATAGGCATGCACAACCACACCAGGCTAATTTTTTATTTTTTGTAGAAATGGGGGGTCGGTATCAAGACCATCCTGGTCAACAAGGTGAAACCCTGTCTCTACTAAAAATACAAAATTTAGCTGGGCATGGTGGTGCGCGCCTGTAGTCCCAGCTGCTCGGGAGACTGAGGCAGGAGATTTGCTTGAACCCAGAAGGCGGAAGTTGCAGTGAGCTGAAATCGTGCCATTGCACTCCAGCCTGGGTAACAACAGTGAAACTCCGCCTCAAAAATAAAAAAACTTTTTCTAAAAGATTTGTCTTATACTGATATCTTCTAACTAATAATTCTGACCAAATGTAACAAATGTATTTAGCCTGAACCAACATCAATTTAAAACAAAAAAAAAAAAAAAAAAAAAAACACCAATAACTGGCTACTCTACAGAATTGACTGCAAAGGAAATGAGAATTCTCACCCAGGTAAAGCATTGCATGAGTATATGGAAGTTTATTCTTAGAATTATAACTGTATGAAACATGTTTTGAATTTGAACATGAGCTTAGAGGCAGGAGAATCACTTGAACTCAGGCAGCAGAGGTTGCGGTGAGCTGAGATCACACCACTGCACTCCAGTCTGGGGAAAGAGCAAGACTCCATTTCAAAAAAAAAAAACTTATTGAACCATGAATGTTCTGGTCCTTCCCGACACTGACTGTCAGGTCCACACACTTGGCATTGAGCCTGGAGGAGGAATTGAAGCATGAGATGGGAAGCTGAACTGGCTAAGGAATGACGCTTCACCCTGCAATTCTGGTTTGGTGTCCATTCACAAGTCTGTAAATGGAGAGATGGGGGACAGCTAACTTCAAATACTGGAAGGGAAACATGTGGGAGGAAAAAGTAAGTCTTCTCTATGGCCCTATACAAGTCAGAAATACTTCCAGTTCCAAGTGGAAATGAAAATCAAAGGACTAAGCCAAGAGAGGAATTTTCTGACCCTTGTCATTGAAGAGACTGGGAATAGATATCTGCGTGGCTCTCTCCAGATGGTCCAATGCTCACTTCTGGAAACAACATCAGTCCCTCCCAGCTCTGCATTCTTCCTTGTTCCTTCTCAGAAAGGCTGTCCTTGTGCAGCGAAGCTGGCCCCCAGCCACTGGGCCTTCATGGTACTGCTAAGTATTCCTAGCAGAAGGGGAGTTTGTCTTTCCCAGTAGCTTAGAATCATGTTGCCATCTATGAAAGCCACGCTGAGACTCTGAGTGGCTCACATGCCCATTTCTGAAGCTGAACCACATGACCAAGTGGGTCAGAGGTATCTGCCCAAAGAAAACTGGAGGTAGGGCCAGGCACAGTGGCTCATGCCTATAATCCCCGCACTATGGAGGCCAAGAGGCGGGCAGGTCATTTGAGGTCAGGAGTTCGAGATCAGTCTGGCCAATATGGTAAGACTCTATCTCTACTCAAACTTCAAAAATTAGCTGGGTGGGGCAGGCTGGGTGCAGTGGCTCACACCTGTAGTATCAGCACTTTGAGATCGAGAGCAAGACCAGCCTGACCAACATGGAAAAACCCTGTCTCTACTAAAAATACAAAATTAGCCAGGCATGGTGGAGCAACAAGAGTGAAACTCTGTCTCAAAGAAAAAAATAAAATAGCCAATGGTGGTGTGCACCTGTAATACCAGCTACTTGGGATACTCAGGCAGGAGAATCATTTGAACCAGGGAGATGGTGGCTGCAGTGGGCCAAGATTGCCCCCTGCACTCCAGCCTGAGTGATTGAGTGAGACTCCATCTCAAAAAAAAAGGCCAGGCTTGGGAGCTCACACCTGTAACCCCAGCAGTTTGGGAGGCCGAGGTGGGCAGATTACCTGAGGTCATGAGTTCAAGACCAGCATGACCAACATGGAGAAACCCCATCTCTACTAAAAACACAAAAAATTAGCTGGACATGGTGGCACATGCCTATAATCCCAGCTACTTGGGAGGCTGAGGCAGGAGAATCACTTGAACCCAGGAGGCAGAGGTTGCCGTGAGCCGAGATCATGCCATTGCACTCCAGCCTGGGCAACAAGAGCAAAACTCCATCTCAAAAAATAAATAAATAAATGATAGTAAGATAAAATTTTATATTTCACATAAATGAATGACTCATAAGTCTGCCTGAAAATATTTGAGGCTTTATAAAAATCACTGCTGTATATAAATGTTTACTTATTTTGTTTCAGCTGAGAGATAATGAAGCAATTCTTCTCACAGATAAGGTAACTGTAGTACTATTTAAGCAGTTCTATTGCGGTAAGATGTAAAAAAATAAAGAAGTCTAGGCTTTAAACCTTTTTAGCTCCAAGACCGGCAACTCTAATCAGGTGTTTTAATATAGGATCATGTTAGGATGGGCTGTGAGCATACTTTCAGAGTCAACTTTTAAATTAAACTACAGGCCGGGTATAGTGGCTCATGCCTGTAATCCCAGAGTTTTGGGAGGCCAAGGTGGGAGGGCTGCTTGAGCCCAGGAGTCAAGATCAGCTTGGGCAACATAGCAAGACCCTGTCTCTATAAAAATAAATTTTTTTAAATTAGCTGGGTGTGGTGATGTGCGCCTGTAGTCTCATCTACTCAGAAGGCTGAGGCAGGAGGATCACTTGAGCCCAGGAGGTCGAGGCTGCAGTGAGCCATGACTGCACCACTGCATTCCAGCCTGGGTGACAGAGCTGAGATCATGCCACTGCACTCTAGCCTGGCCACAGAGCAAGACTCTGCCTCAAAAAAGAAAAAAAAAAAAGCAGTTTTAGGTTAATGAAAATACTAATCAGAAAGTAGAGTTCCCATATGCCCGTTTATCTCCCCCTCCCGAATTTTCCCTATTATCAAAACCTTGCATTCATGTCGATCATTCATTACAACTGATAAGCCAGTGTTGATACATTGTTCACAGTTTATATTAGGGTTCACTCTTTGTTTTGTACACTATGGGTTTTGAAAAAATACGTAAGGACATATATACACCATTATAGCAGTGGCTTACGCCTGTAATCCCAGCACTTTGGGAGGCCAAGGCGGGTGGATCACGAGGTCAAGAGATCGAGACCATCCTGGTCAACATGGTGAAACCCCGTCTCTACTAAAAAAAAAATACAAAAAATTAGCTGGGCATGGTAGCGCGTGCCTGTAATCCCAGCTACGCGGGAGGCTGAGGCAGGAGAATTGCCTGATCCCAGGAGGCAGAGGTAGTGGTAGCTGAGATTGCGCCATTGCACTCCAGCCTGGGTAACAAGAGCGAAACTCCGTCTCAAAAAAAAAAAAAAAAAAAAAAGAATCCTTTCACTCCCTCAAAATACTGTCCTCTCCCTATTCATCCTTCCCTATCTTGCCCTGAACCCTGAACCTCTGGCCACCACTGACCTCATTACTGTCTGCACAGTTCTTTTTCCAGAATCACCTGGGGTCAGGAGTTCAAGCCCAGACTGGCCAACATTGTGAAACCCCATCACTACTAATACAAAAACATTAGGTGGGTGTGGTGGCGCCTACCTGTAAACCTAGCTACTCAGGAGGCTGATAGAGGAGAATCACTTGAACCCGGGAGGTGGAAGTTGCAGTGAGCCAAGATCGCGCTATTACACTACAGCCTGGGCAATGAGCAAAACTCCGTCTGCAAAAATAAAAAAAATAAAAGAAACTGCCAAACTGTCCTCCAAAGTATCTGTACCATTTTGTATTTCCTGCAGCAAAGAATGAGAGATCCTGCTGCTCCACATCCACACCAGTGTTTGGTGGCACCAGTGTTTTGGATTTTGGTCATTATTTAGGTGTGTAGTGGCATCTCACTGCTATTATATGCACTCTAATGACATGATATTGAGCACCTTTTCATCTGCATTGCCGCCTGTCTGTCTTCTTTGGTGAAGTATCTGTTCAGATCTTTTGCCCACCTTTAAATTGGGTTAGTTCTGACTATTGAGGTTTTTTTTCTTCTTTCTTTCTTTCTTTTTGAGACAGAGCCTCACTCTGTTGCCAAGTGCCAGGCTGGAGTGCAGTGGCACGATCTCGTGGTGCAACCTCCGCCTCCCGGGTTCAAGCAATTCTCCTGCCTCAGCTTCCCAAGTAGCTGGGACTACAGGCGCACACCACCATGAGTGACATTTGTCCCTGTCCTTGTCTATGAATTCCTCATAGGCAACTGACAAAAGTTCATGTCAGCTGACTCAGGAATCAACTGACAAGGCTCAGTTTAACTATTGGTTCCTTTGTGCAGCTTCCCTTGACTCCCTAAACAGAAATGCCCACTCACCTCCTTGGTGCCCCCACAGTAATATGGATCCACCTTCATTACACTTATTTCCATATTGCCTTTGTTTAGATGTCCACCTCTTCCACTATACTCCAGAAAGGCAAGCACCATAGCTTGTTCCTTGCACTGCTAGGACCCAGCACAACCGTTAAGACAGTAAATTCTCAGGGATCTTTGCAGAGAAGTGAGGACGAGGGGACTTAGCAAGGGCTATGAAGACCTTCTGCCTCCATCAGTGGGCAGCCTTAGAATTTTCTAGGCTGACGGCTGGGAACCAAATAGTCACACAGGAATCTACCTGACACCTAAACTAATTCCCACCTTCAAGGAACCTTGTCATTCAGGATCCAGGTCCTCCTCTAGGACCAAAGGTGGCAAAATGTGTGCCCTTTGGAAACACTCCATGATACATGAAGAAAGGGCCAAAGTCATGATTCAAAATCTTAGCTGTGGAAGCGTGGGAGGATGTGGGTTTAGATGGTCTATGGCCTTCTGATGCCTCTACCACTGCAATACAAGTGCCCTAATTGTCCAGTGTCCTATAAAAAAGGATGGAAAACTAGAACACTTTCAAGGGCCTTATGCAAATACATAAAGTGCCTGAATTATACTCTAAACTCAACCAGTGATACCAAGGAACAGTATCACTCTAAGGTATTAAAATAGCACACATGAGCTGGATCCTAATGAAACTGCTAATAATTTGAAGAAACGGAGGCAAGAGAGAGCAAGGCCTCCCCGCCACACAGAGCTAATTAATGGTAGAACCTAAAGCCTTTCGGTTTACTGCTCTTGATCTAGCTCCACACTGACTCTTTTGCTTCAGGTATAAAACATTATACTGGCAGCATCATGATCATGATCAAAATAGAGGTATGCAATCTTTCTCCAAAATAGGATTTTTAAAATTCCCCTGCCTTTAAGTCGTCTTTATCATACTTAACAACTGAATTTTTTTTTTTTTTGAGATGGAGTCTCACTCTGTTGCCCAGGCTGGAGTGCAAGGGCACAATTTCAGCTCACTGCAACCTCCGCCTCCCTGGTTCAAGTGACTCTCCTTCCTCAGCCTCCTGAGTAGCTGGGATTACAGGCATGCACCACCACACCCAGCTAATTCTTTATTTTTCATAGAGACGGGGGTTTCACCTTGTTGGCCAGGCTGGTCTCGAACTCCTGACTTCAAGTGATCCACCCGCCTTGGCCTCCCAAAGTGCTGGGATTACAGGTGTAAGTCACTATGCCTGGCCTACAACTGAATTTTTTAAAAATCACAATTTGGTTTAGGTTTTATAATCAAAACTAGAAAACAGGATTCAATCAAAATTCCCTTTCAGCAAAATTTTCTATAAAAGTCACCTATACATCTAAGAAATATGGGACACCCCCACATCCACCTCAAGTCACACAAAAGGCTGCAGTCGTGGCTTTGCACTAAAACTTCGGCCACCATGGGGAGGAGCTAGGATGGACCAGAGAACAAACACGAGAACAAAGCCATTTCCACAGTGAATGGATATACTCATGCCATTTTGACATTAAACCAACTATTGCTTTTAAAGCATTTTCTACTAGCGTATAAATCAAATGTCAGTTGATGCATCGCATCCGATATCCTAAAACAAGTTTTGAATGCACAAAGTATCCTGGGCAATATACTGAACTCCACATGGTAAAGAAGAGTAATAGAATGGAAAGTACCTGGCACCTGCGATTAAACCTACAGGCATGACTTTTCCATAGTAGTAGGATCTCAATGCCATAACACCAGCCAAGGTACCAGATGTAGCGGCTGAAAAAGATACAAAGAAGGAAGAAAACTCATTACATCTTCTACGCAGGGGAATCAGAAGTGGGCCAAGTCCCACTTATCTCTCAAGGCTCACGCCTCATCCTATGCTCATTCCTCTTGCCCCTGGTAGGGGGAGATTACTGGCTGCTCAAATCCTATGGATCCAATTACCAATATTGGTCAAATAGGGCCCTTCAAAGCCTGGGCCCTGTCTGCCCTTCCGGCCTTATCTCTTTCTCATCACTCATCTTCTGCAAAACCCACACTTCAGCCACCAATGTGTTAGTTTTCTCCAAAATGCTGCTGTTTTTCATGCCATGCAGACACTATTTCCTCTACCCTGCACATAATTCCCACTGGCCATCTGTCAAAGCACCTACTACATGTCAAGCACTGTATTAGGTACTGGAGAATACAAAGGTAATCAAAACTGTCTTTGCCCTTTTACAATGCTTCAGGTCTGATGGGACAGACTTTAAAGAAACACTCAAAGAAAAAGAAGGTACAATTTGTGCTTCAGGTATAATTGATGCTACACAAAAAAGTATAACAGGGGGATCAACCTACTCAGGGAGATCATGCAAGGCTTAGCCAAGGAAGGGAAGATTGGCTGGGATCTGAAATTACAGCAGGAGTCAATGAGCTGAAGGATGGGAAGGCCCGTTCCAGGGAGAGGGGACAGTATGTATATGCAGAGGCCCTGGAATGAGAGGGAGCACAGCACATTCACCCTAAAAGGCCAATGTGGCACAGAAGTCAAGATGCAGCTTGTGAGGAGGAGGTGCCTGACGACATGGAGCCTTGAAGGCAATACTAGGGATTGGGTTTTCATTCTAAGAGCAATGAGAAGTTATTAAAGAATACTAAGCAGATGGACACATTAACAGAATTGCATTTCTTTTTTTTTTTTTTTTTTTTGAGACAGAGTCTCACTCTACCATACAGGGTGGAGTGCAGTGACATGATCTTGGCTCACTACAACCTCTACCTCCTGGGATCAAGCAATTCTTGTCTCAGCCTCCTGAGTGGCTGGCACTACAGATGCCTGCCACTATACCCAGCTAATTTCTTTTTCCCTTTTTTTTTTTTTACAAGTTTAATGCAAATTATACCAGGTAAATACATTCATGAAGTATGGAAATCTTTCCATATTCTGTATATAAATTATAAACAGAAACCAGCACGATTCCCGCCACCCTACCCCTATTTTAAAGCAGTGTAACTGTCCTAAGTTAAGTATGATGAACTCCCCCCATCCCATCAAACCAGGGCCTTTTGGAAAAGACTAATCAGGATACACAGCTGCCCTAAGGACATACAAAAGCAGACATACCTAGGAAAAGCCAAACGTTCTTTGGATCCTGAGACAGCTGGTAAGAACCCAGCCCAGCTAGGCTGCTGAAGAACAGCTCCACAACCAAGGATGGCACTCTGCCTAGAGGGAAGCGAACACAGCTTCATTTTAACATGAGGCACTTACTTCACTAACAGAATCCACCAGACACCCCTCCCTACCAAGAAAGACAGCAAAGAGAACTCTCAGCTCATAACCAAGGTAGAAACAAGCAGGAGGATGTTTCAGGGACTTTTCTATCTTATCAGGGAAGCCAGGGTCTTCCCACCCCATCTTTTTCTTCTCTAATAAGCAGGGCACTTCCATCTAAGGAAAGGAAAGAAGGCCATCTTCCCTCCTTACATCGAACTGTGGCTAGGCCTTCTTTCTAGTCAGGCCTGATCAACCATGATCAGGCAGGTTATACAGGCAGGACCTCCAGCAAATCACAAAAGGAGAGGGGGGAAACAGTCAGTCAGTTAAAAAATAAAATAAAAAATCTTGAGAATAAGAATTCTGGAGCAGGGGTTGGGGTGGGAATGTAGTCAAGGACAAGGGGGCAGAAACAAGTACAGCCACTGACACACCCCTGCCTGGCCTAACGAGGAGACTTCAAAACACAAGTCTGTGAAGACCAGAGGTTTCCTCCTACTTGAGGCCAGAGATGGCCCTTGGGGGCCATGGTTGATGCATGGCAATCAACAGTAACAATCTACAACCACCCCTGTCTATCTTTAGATAAAGAGGCAAAAACAAGGAATTCCACAAGAAGGCTGGCTTGGCTTTGCCAGACAACCAAAAGGCAAGTATAGGAGCTGCAAGACTGACAAGGAAGCCTGCACTCCAGCTTGGGGACCTACAGCAAACCTGACTCAAAGGAGATGGCTCCTCAGACAAGTGCCTGTTTGCAACAACAACAAAAAAGCAAAAAAAAGGACGTGGCTCTTCAGGGAGCCTGAGCACTCAGTTTTCACTCTAACAGCGTGAAGATGTTGAGAGGCTAACGACAAAAGCATACCTGTTTTTACATAGCCAAAGATCCCCCGGGAAGCAACCAGTGCTGTGTAGCCATAGCCCAACCAAAGCAAAGGCACTCTGAAAACACCAGGGGGAGAAGTCAGTGCCAACCAGGCTTTGGAAACAAACCATACTGTCATAGGATGGAACTACAAGGTAATCATTCCTGCCAGGTGGGGTGGCTCATGCCTGTAATCCCAGCACTTTGGGAAGCCGAGGCAGGTGGATCATGAGGTCAGGAGATAGAGATCATCCTGGCCAACATGGTGAAACCCCATCTCTACTAAAAATACAAAAATTAGGCTGGGCGCGGTGGCTCAAGCCTGTAATCCCAGCACTTTGGGAGGCCGAGGCGGGTGGATCACGGGGTCAAGAGATCGAGACCATCCTGGTCAACATGGTGAAACCCCGTCTCTACTAAAAATACAAAAAATTAGCTGGGCATGGTGGCACATGCCTGTAATCCCAGCTACTCAGGAGGCTGAGGCAGGAGAATTGCTTGAACCCAGGAGGCAGAGGTTGCGGTGAGCCGAGATCACGCCATTGCACTCCAGCCTGGGTAACAAGAGCAAAACTCCCTCTCAAAAAAAAAAAAATACAAAAATTAGTCAGGCGTGGTGGCGCACACCTGTATTCCCAGCTACTTAGGAGGCTGAGGCAGGAGAATCACTTGAACCTGGGAGGTGGAGGTTGCAGTGAGCCAAGATTGTGCCACTGCACTCCAGTGTGGTAACAGAGCGAGACTCCATCTCATAAAAAGAAAAGGTAATCATTCCTGACATGTCTTATCACTGAAAATAAGGCCCACAGAGGTTGAATGACTTTCTGAAAGTCACACAACTCAGCAAAACCAGAGCTGGGACTCAAATCCAACACAGGTCCAGTGATCCTCCCGTCGCCCATGCTGCCCCAGGCAGTCTACTTTTAGGGTTTTCAGCTGAGGAAAGGAACTCTGGTTTCCAGAAGCTCCTGGCTACTCCATTGACATTTACTGTCCACTCACATTGGGATGAAGCCCTTCTCCATTCTTCTGTTTTCTGTCCAGACAGGAGACTACCCCAGGCCTGCACTTGCAGGAAACAGGCTGGATCAGAGGCGGTTAAAAGCACAGCTCTCCAGCAGTCAGAAAGAAGTGTGTCCAACCTGCAAGCTACGCAACCTAAGTCTCAGCATCCTTCACTGTACCATGGGGATAACACTGCTACCAATTTCCTGAGGCTGTTGTGAGCATTCGGGGTGGGGGGGGGTCACAGGTAAAGGTGCTTAGCACATAGTAAACGCTGAACAGATGCCGACCATTGTCATCAAAACCTCAATTCTAATCACAGCAAACTGAGCAGGACCCACTGACCAGCTCTACAATCAGGTAACGTGTTAGCCATTTCATCAGCTAACCATACCATCACTAAATCGGAAAGCAAGTACACCCATGCCCTTAATCCAACTACTTTAACGTCTCTTTTTGGGGGAGGTAGGGGTGTTGCTTTTTGTCCCTGCCAAAACACCCAATTTCAATACTCAACTTTTTTAGAAACTTCTGCATCCAACTCACAGGTTTTTTTGGTGGGGGAGGGGGATGGAGTCTCGTTATGTCGCCCAGGCTTGAGCGCAGTGACACGGTCTCGGCTCACTGCAACCATTGCTTCCCTGGTTCAAGCAATTATCCTGCCTCAGCCTCCTGAGTAGCTGGGATTAGAGGAATGCGCCACCACGCCCGGCTAATTTTTGTTTATTTTATTTTATTTTTTGAGACGGAGTTTCGCTCTTGTTACCCAGGCTGGAGTGCAATGGCGCGATCTCGGCTCACCGCAACCTCCGCCTCCTGGGTTCAGGCAATTCTCCTGCCTCAGCCTCCTGAGTAGCTGGGATTACAGGCACACGCCACCATGCCTAGCTAATTTTTTGTATTTTTAGTAGAGACGAGGTTTCACCATGTTGACCAGGGTGGTCTCGATCTCTTGACCTCGTGATCCACCCGCCTCGCCTCCCAAAGTGCTGGGATTACAGGTTTGAGCCACCGCGCCCGGCCCAATTTTTGTATATTAGTAGAGACAGGGTTTCACCATCTAGGCTGGTCTTGAACTCTTCACCTCGTTACGCCCGCTTCGGCCTCCCAAAGAGCTGGGATTACAGGTGTGAGCAACAGCGCCCAGCCCCTACTCACAGATACAGTTAGCAGGACGGATAAAATATAGGGTGGATAAGGGAAGGGTAAAATATAAGGAAACCCTAGTCATAGTCACATCTGACGCTGCGCCCTTGGAAAAACAGAGCTCTTGTGTTAATTAACAAAAGACGTTGTGTGCGGTCTCCTGTATCAGTGTGGATCCAGCAGCTCTCCAAGAAGTCACATTTGCATGGGGGTTGAGTTGACGGTTCTTATTGTGATATGTAAGCCCCCGAGACCAAACCGGAGGGCTGATTTAGGGTTTTCTGTTTGTCTTTTGGGTTTTTATTTCACTTTCTTTTGGTACCCTTTCTCCATTTACAGCCAAATCAGTTTCATGATGTTCAAAACTTTTGCTGATGTCAAATGGAGAAAATGAACAGAAAAAGATTCTTACAAAGTTATAAAATTTAAAACTGAAAAAATAAAAAGAAAAACAGAGCTCTTATTTTCTTACAGAAAACTATCTTGTATCTAGTGAGCCTAACAAGATGGAAAGCAACACACACCCCGTTTATTTTGTTTAAAGAATCAGGCCGGGCAAGGCTAAAGTGGGAGCCTGGTTTGAGCTCTGGAGGCAGAGGCTGAAATAAGACATATTCTGCGCTCCAACCTGGGCGACAGAGCGAGACCCTCCCTCAAAAAAAAAAAAAAAAAATGAATTAAATTTCCATAAAACGAGGAAGGGCAGGGGGCTTGGGATCTCGCCCACAGTTCTTAACCGGAGGCCGCAATGAGTTAGTGAGGCTTTTAAAGAGATGGAATAATGAGATTATTCCCCAAGAGTCCGCACCGATCTTCCGAAGGCATGCACGGTCCACACCGGCACAGAAGCAGCGGGGCAGGGTAGCCAGGCCTAGCCAGAAACGCGGCAGCTTGCGCTCTGCCTCCCGGGGGCGCGACAGGGCGGGGAGAGGGGCAGAGCGTTGTGGCGCGTGCGCAGTGTACCGAGAGAGGGACGGGCAGGGAATAGGGACGGCGGCAGCGGACCTAGAGCCGCCGAGCAGCTACAGCAAGCGCCTTGCATCCCGGGGGCGGGGAGTAGGGCGGGGCATCGCGGCGCGCCAGGAAGTCACGGGAACGGGTCGGGGAATCTCTGCTTCCTCTGTCCCCAGGCTCACCGCGTGCAGGGCCGACCAGCACCAGTCCCCAGGTTCTATCCTGAGTGGCCAAAAGCCAGAAACACAGAGTTGGAATTGGGTCTTGCACAAGCTGGATCACGTGAGCTGCGCCAGGCCGGAGGTGGAGACCACAGCTGCGGGAGGAGAGCTTCTGAGGCTGGATTCTGAAGAATCCCATTAATAGAGGGATAAGTTACAGGGTATAAGACCAGATACTAGCCGTCAGGGAGGGTTGTCACTCAAGCCCGATCTCGTTTGTTTACACCAGAAAGGGCCTGCCTTCTACCTGCAAGAAAGCGTGGCAGCTGCAGAATAATGTGGCTCACTGCCAAATATCCGTTTGTTTTAGGGAGTGAGGCTACTTGAGAATGATCTTAAAGGGGGAGAGAGAGCAAGTTAAATCTGATCTCCACCCAGCTCTGTGGATCCCAAATGTCCACAGCGTGACGTTATCTCCATTCCCACCTCCGAGCAGCTCCTCTTCTGTTTCCTGCACCACCATTCGCTCGGTTGGTCTACACTAAAATTTGCTGTCATCGTTGACTTCTCCCTCTCCTTCATCCCGTGCAAGTAACAATATAGACAAATCTGATCAATAGCATCATCAGGGAATAAAGCAAATTGTAGCGCATATTCTTAAAGAAAAACGTTCCACTTGCCGCAGCACCAACCTTCCAGATAGCAAAATTGAAGCCCGTGTTTATCACAGCTGATTCTAACCAGCCAAAGCTGATAATCACTAAGAACTTGCGGCAACTGCAGTATGCCAGACCTTCACTTTAATTGAGGACTTTCCTGAACAATTAATGAGGAGACTTGTCTTAAGCGGCAGAGAATGGCTTTAGAAACTCATTCTTCCCTATGTAGGCGCAAGCCTCAAACCTTAATTAGGGTCATCCATCATGATTCTGGCACCCTCTCCCCTACCTTATACTTGAAGAAATTCCAGCTCAGAGAATTGTATTACCTACAGCCCTCTTCACTGGTAGAGCTATTATGTAACGTAAGGTCTGAAATACAAAAAGTAGCCAGGCGTAGTGGCGCACTCCTGTAATCCAGGTACTCAGGAGGCTGGGGCAGGAGAATCGCTTGAACTCGGGAGGCGGAGGTTGCAGTGAGCCAAGATCGTGCCATTGCACTCCAGCTTGGGCAACAAGAGCGAAGGTACATCTCAAAAAAAAAGAAAAGAAAAAGAATCCAGAAGTAAACTATATTTATGTCAACTGGTTGAACTCCTTCACACTAATATTAATGCAAGATAGATAGAACATAAGAACATAGACATATATGCCACAGCTGAAACTACAAAACTCATTAAAGAAAATATAAACATAAAACTTGATTACCTGGGATTAGGCAAAGCCTTCTTAGATATAAAACCAAAAGCACCAGCAACAAAAGAAAAAACAAACTGGACTTCATCAAAATTAAAGACTTGTGCTTTAAATGGATACCAACCAAATAGTGAAAAGACAACTCACAGAAGGGGAGAAATATTTGCAAATCACATACCTGATCATGGATTTGTATCAATAATATACAGAGAACTCTTACAAGTCAATAGCAAAACAACAAATAACACAATTTAAAAATGGGCAATATATCTGAATAAACATTTCTTCAAAAAAGATAAAGCAAATGATAAGAGGCTAATAATCATTAGCCATCAGAAAATGCAAATCAAAACCACACTGAGCTACTACTTCCTATCCACTGGAATGGCCATAATAGAAACAAAAACCAAGTGTCAGCAAAGATGTGGCAAAATTGGAACACTCATACACTGGTGATGGGAACATAAAGGGTGTGACCGCTTTAGGGTCCCTCAAAAGTATAGCAGTCCCTCAAAAGGTTGAACATACGAGTAACCACCTGATTGGACAGAATTTTACTTCTAGGTATATATGTACCCAAGAAAAATGGAAACATATGTTCATGTAAAAACTTATGGTCAAAGCAACATTATTCATATTAGTCAAGAGGAAACAAATATGCATCCGCTATTGAATGGATAAACAAATTGTGTCATATCCATACAATGAAATATTATTTGACAATAAAAAGAAATACTAATACATGTAACAATGTGGATGAGATGAGGTGGCTAACACCTGTAATCCCAGGAATTTGGGAGGCCGAGGCAGGCAGATCACCAGCCTGGCCAACATGGCAAAACCCTGTCTCTACTAAAAAGAGAAAAATTATGGTCAGGCACAGTGGCTTACGCCTGTAATCCCAGCACTTTGGGAGGCTGAGGCAGGCAGATCATTGCATGAGAATGAGAAACTAATGCTCAGTTTAGGCATATGAGTTGTTCAGAAACATGGTCTGATCAAAGTTATGTCAGCCTTCATAGTAATCTGGCTGATAAACAACTAATACTTGAAAGATGGTACTGATATGGACTATTTCACCTGAAGATTGTTTACTTGATAACATTTTTTTAAGTTCTGCAAGGTGGTTTAACATCCAAAAATATATACAGTCAATCCTGGGTATTCATGAAGGACTGGGACCAGGACCCCTCACCAATATCAAAATCCGCAGATGCTCAAATCCCTGATATAAAATGGCATAATATTGACATATAACTTTTGTACATTCTGCCATATACTGTAAATAATCTCTAGATTACATATAGTACCTAATACAATGTAAATGATATATAAATAGTTGTTACACTGTATTTTTTATTTGTAGGACTTTTTAAAAATTGTTATATTGCTTTTTTTCCAAATATATTCCATTGGAGGTTGGTTGAATCAGTGGATATGGAACACACAAATACAGGAGAGCAACAATATCTAAATCTAGATTAATGTAAGTGTTGAAAAAAATATTTTATCTCCACCTAGGCAGGTCCTACCAGAGGGGAAACTAGACTCACTCAAAGATTGCTTTGATCAACCCACACACAGTTTGGTGACAGACAGAGTATCAGTATCTGTTGTATGTGTCACCAGCCCATGCTAGGGATGTCAATAGATGATGTAACCTTTCTAGGGAATCATGATATAATAATTGATAATAATATTGATCACATACAGATAGACTTGCTTGACACAGAGTTGCCACAGACCTTCAATTTTTTAAAAAAAATACAATATCTGTGGAAGTACTCTAAAGTGAAGCAGAATAAGGCAGATATGCCTGTAAAGATAAAGGGAGAATCTTAAAAGCTACCAGAGATGTACAAGTGCTTCTCAATAAATCCATACATCTGTGGCCAAAGGATTTTTGACAAGAGTGCCAAGTCCATTCCATGATGAAATAACAGTTTCTTTAATTTATGATGTGGGAGAAACAGATTTCCACATGCAAGACTAAAGTTGGGCTCTACTTCACACCACATGCAAAAAATAATTCACAACCTAACTATAAGAACTAAAATCATAGAAGTCTTAAAGGAAAACATAGGGTAAATCTTCATGATCTTGTGTTTGGCAATCGGGCTTCTTAGATATGATACTAAAAGCCCAGGAAGAAACAACAACAAAAAAATAGGTAAATTGGAGTTAATTTAAAAAGTGAAACTTTTCTATCAAAGGACATTTTAAATGTACAATTTAAAATGTATATTTAAATATGCCACTGAATTGTACATTTAAAATTTTCTCCCATTCTGAATGGACAGAATGGGAGAAAATATTTGCAAATCCTGTATCTGATAGTATCCAGAATATATATATAGAAAACCTACAATTCAACAACAAATAAACAACCCAATTAAATTCTCAACAAAGGACTTGAATAGACATTTCTGCAAGGAGGTATATAAATGGCCAGGAAGCCCATGAGAAGGTGCTCAAAGTCATTAGTCATTAGGGAACTGCAAATCAAAAGCATGATGAGATGCCACTTCACACTTGCAAAGATGGCTATAATTTAGAGGAGGAAAAAGGAAAATAACAAATGTTTGTGAGAATGTGGGGAAATTAGAACCCGTGTACATTGTTGGTGGGACTGCGAAATGGTGTAGACACTGTGGAAATCAGTTTGGCTGTTCCTCAAAAAGCTAAACAGAGAGTGACCATAGAATTGTTGTAATACCAACAATTCCACTCTAAAGCATATAACCAAAAGTACTGAACACAGGGATTGACTGAAACAGATACTTGTACACCAATAATCATTGCAATATTATTCACAATAGTCAAACAACAGATGAGTGGATAAACAATGCCTGGTACACACACTTTTCTCTTTTTTGGTGGGGCACAAAGTCTTGTTCTTGTCACTCAGGTTGGAGTGCAATGGCAAGATCTCGGCTCACTGCAACTTCCACCTCCTGGGTTCAAGTGACTCTTCCACCTCAGCCTTCTGAGTAGCTGGGATTACAGGCGCCTGCCACCATGCCTGGCTAATTTTTGTATTTTTAGTAGACAGGGTTTCACCAAGTTGGCCAAGCAGTATACACATTTTTCTGTTATTTGGCCATGAAAAGGAATGAACTTTTGATACATGCTGCAACATGGATAAAACTCAGCAACAAGGTTTTTGAGGGAAATAAACTGAGTGAAAGGCCACATCTTGTAGGATTCCACTTATATGAAATACATGAAATAGACAAATTCATGGAGACAGAAAGTAGATTAGAAGCTACTGGGAGTGGAAGGAGGGGAGAAGGGGAATTTTTTATCCAATGAGCACAGTGTTTCTATTTGTTTTTGTTTTTGTTTGAGACAGGTCTTGCTCTGTCACCCAGGCTGGAGTGCAGTGGCACAATCTCAGCTCACTGAAGCCTCTGTCTCCTGGGTTCAAGCGATTCTCCTGTGTCAGTCTCCCGAGTAGCTGGGATTACAGGTGTATATCATCACACCTGGCTAATTTTTGTATCTTTAGTAAAGATGGGGTTTTGCCATGTTGGCCAGGCTGGTCTCAAACTCCTGACCTCAGGTTATCTGCTCACCTCAGCCTCCCAAAGTACTGGGATTACAGGCATGAGCCATCGTGCCCGATCCAAGTGTTTCCATTTAGGATGATGAAAACCTTTTGAAAATAAATATCTGTAATGGTTGCACAGCACTCTGAAGGTGATTAATGCCACTGAATTGTACATTTAAAATGGTGAAAATGGCAAATTTCATGTTATAAAGATTTTGCTACCCAAAAACAAAAGCAAAAAATCTCAAGACCTTTATGTTATTATAAGGAAGCATTTTTCCAAAGGAATGGGGATGCTGGTAGCAGAAGGAAAAGAAATCTCATTAAATAAAATCAAAAGCAATGATCTCTTCAGGAGGTGGCTCAGCTAGTTTGGTTAGCCTTACCTTAGCTCCACGATGGTCCATTTTATTCAGAAATAGAAATATGGGCATTGGAGAGAAGAGGAAATGTGCACCTGCCTCACCTGCCTCCCCGCCCAAATGCCGACACTCCTACTCTTGCATTTCACTAAGGCTAGGGATTAAATGAAAAGTGAGAGTCTGGAAACCCCCAGAGATTATGTTAGTCGTTGGAGTTGACTGTCCCGTTTTAATAGCATGACCTCCTCAAACTCATAATGCAATTATGTTCACATCTCATTTGTTTGAATTAATTGATCAACCCCAGTAGCAGATTAGCAGGAAGTTCTGATATTTTCCTTTCGAGTATGGGCTCCTACTGAACTGTCCTGGAATCCACCACCATTTAAAACTTACACCATCCAAAAGACCCAGGGAATTCGGCCAGCCCAGCTTCCAACCCCAAGCAGGGAGCAACGTGCTCAGCCCACGTTGTGATCTCTCCTTGCTGCCACAAGGTGGTGACGTTGCATCATAGACTCTCACAATGGACGCGCAGGCGCCAATGCTCTCGGGCGCCAATGTTCCATTCCTAAATGAAAAGTGCCCCCAGGATCTGGACTCCTCCGCAGGCTGTTCGCCGCTGGGGAGCTCAAGGGCAAGAGGGCATCTCAGAGAGAGGCCACATTCTCACCTCTGAAGACAAGAAGAACATCAACACACAGACCAATCCCGGCACTGCACCTTAGAATGGGGGAAGGCCACTGTAAGTTAAAGCGAACGAATGAATGACCCAATAAATTCTGAGAGGGAAAATCCCAACGACTTATAGGAAGTACGATCAACGGTTGCAGTTATTTTTTTAGGAACATTCTGAACACAGGGGAAAACCTCCTTCCTTCTGCTCTATTGTTAGAGTGAGACATCAACGTTTCTATTTCTGGGACACCAGAAATCAAGGTATAGAATTTGGGGAGGTCACAGTGGCAGGTGGCTGCCAAATGGGGTGGCAGAAGCCAGCGAGCGCTGGAAAAAGAGACAATCCACCCTAACTTCACCAGCACCGTCCCCCTCAACCCCCCCAGCGGCTCTGGTTCCAAGACTTTCCATTTTCTGGACATTTCCTTGGCCTTAGACCATTTTCCTTTAATCGAGCATTTTCTTTGGAACCATGCACCCTTTATCCGGTTTCCCCCGATGGTGGCATCTCACGAAGGACGGTCCGGTGTCCCAACAGCGTGTAGCGTTCCTCAGGACGCAGATTTCCTCCACAGGAACCCCCTGGGTTGCGCTTTTAAAGACACATCCACCCGCCTTCCTAACTCCTGAGCACCGCTGACGAGCTGCACTTCTCGCCTCTGTCGTTTGGAATGAATCATCCGGGCGTGACCTTTAGGGGGAATCTTGCATAATACCAGTACACCAGCGGCGCTGTCGGTGAGTGACCTCTGGGACTGGCTTCTCTCACCAGCGTAACACCCCCGGAGATCCCAGCAGGCTGATGGGTGTATTAGCGGCTCATTCTTTCATTTGCACCACGGATCTTATTCTATAACCTGGAATACCTGCCGGGAGGGAGGGGGAGGCGTAGGGCAGGGGCGTCCCTCCTCTTGGCACAGCATCCCGGCGCTGAATTTGTTGAATTTGTATCAGTCCAGTTTCCAAGTCTCCGGAAGCCAGCAGGGTCCTCCCCAATCCCGGATTGCTGGGTGAGGCCTGGGACAGACCTCAAGGGCGGTGAGTGGGCGGAGCTTAGGGGCGGAGGCGAGGGTGGGGCGGGACGCCGGTGTGGAGGCGGGGCCTGAGAGTGGGCGGGCGCGGATTGAGGCAAGGCACTGGCCGAAGAAGGTGTGGGCGGTGCTCCGGGGTGGGGAGGGGCGGGGCCTCTGTGTGGCCAGCGTGGGGCTGAAAGAGGCCTGCGGTTCCGCGGCGCGGGACAGGTCCTGGGCTGCTTGGGTTGGCGCTAGCTCCTGGTCCCCGAGGGCGCAGTCACATCGCTCCTGCCCGCCAGGCGCCTGACAGTGCGCGGCCCTGTGCGGCCGGAACCTGGCGCAACTCCGAGAACTGCCCTTTGGGAGGCGCGGATCCCAGTCCTGAGGCTCCTACTGGGGCATGCGCTGGTCGGAGGGTGAGTGATCCCCGGTCGGGGACCGGGGGACTTGGGAGGGACGGTTCCCGGACGGGAGATCCAGGGCGCTCTCTGGAATTTCACCTGGCTCTGTGGGTCGTCGCGCCTGGACCAGGGACCATTCTGAACATGGGATCGTGCTTGGCTTTCACGGAACGCGCCCATACGGCCCCGGTGTCGAATCGTCTGGCGGAATCTGGCCTCAACCCTATGGAGCGGGTGCTGGTATCATAGTCATATTACAAGTAGGAATCAGAGGGCCCGAGGTCACTCTGAAAAGCGGGTACCGGGGTTTAGGCTGCCCAGCGCTGTCCTGAAGGCGCGGCTGAACCACAGTGGCTTGCACTGCCTTTGTCAAGTACATTGTGGCAGTCTGAAAAATATCAGTTTCTCTAACCTATAATCTCTCTGGAAAAAAAAAAAAAATCAGCTTTTTTCTTGTTTTCTCTTTCCTCTCCCAGGCTGGAGTGCAGTGAGGCAATCTCAGCTCATTGCAACCTCTGCCTCTCGGGCTCCTCCCGAGTAGCTGACATTACAGGGGCCCGCCACCATGCCCAGCTAATTTTTGTGTTTTTAGTAGAGACGGGGGTTTCACTGTGTTGACCAGGCGGGTCTCGAACTCTTGACTTCAGGTGACCCACCCACCTGGAGTGCTAGGATTACAGACGGCTGGCCAAAATCAGCTTCTTTAACCTTTAATCTCTGAAAAAATATGTCAGATTAACTGTTAATCTCCAACGATCTCAGCCAAAGAAATACATGAAAAGGAAAAGTATTAAATAATATACACTTCTAGGAGTGCTGTTCTTAGTTCTGGGAAAAAATAGAAATAACCTAAGGTCCCAGAGATAGGAAAGTGGGCACCAAAGGGTATGCTGGCAATGGGGTAATTGCAGCATAAATACACACTCTGAATACACTGTGAAATGTTGTGTGTGTTAGAACCAGCAGGGGGCCTTCCACATGGAAAGAGGCACAGGAAATAAAGTGAAAACATTACAAAATAACTTCTGCATGCAATTAAGATTAGATAATGTGGCCGATGCCTGTAATCCCAGCACTTTAGGAGGCCGAGGTGGGCGGATCAGGAAGTCAGGAGATTGAGACCATCCATGGTGAAACCCATCTCTACTAAAAATACAAAAAAATTAGCCAGTGTGGTGGTGGGCGCCTGTAGTCCCAAGCTACTTGGGAGACTGAGGCTGGAGAATTACTTGAACCCGGGAGGCAGAGGTTGCAGTGAGCCGAGATCGCACCACTGCACTCCACCCTGGGTGACAGAGCAAGACTCCGTATCAAAAAAACAAAAAAAAGATATTTCATCAATGTACACATCAAAAATATCAGAGCCCATTTGACCTAGTTTAGTAACCACATGGCTCTTTTTTCCTGTAGGCCTGGGTAGGTGCATAGTTTCTAACAAGGGAGAAAACTGTCACTGCTGTGGATGGGGCATCAAGGGAAGTGGCTGGGCTGAAGTGAACAGTGACACACTGCAAGTCAAGAGTCTGGGTTGGAGTCTTTCCCCCCTATTCAAATAGTATCAAAAATAGGGCTGAGTCACTCACATAGAGCTGAATTGCTCAGCTCTTGGACCTCAGATTCTCATTCTTAATCACTAGAGGGTTGGAGACTTGCATGCCACCAGTCACATGATATAAACATGTAAACTGGGCCAAGGAATGCAAAAGGGAATGATAAGCCTGGGGACACTGGAGAATGGATGCCCTGCCTAGAGGAGTGGAAATGAAACATTTCATACAAATAGCATGTCTTTGGGTAATCGCTTTGGGATTGGTGTTGCCTCTGTCTGTAAACACTGGCAATGTTAACAATGGTAAATAATTTCATATCACTCTCTAATTTTTTTTTTTTTTTTTTTTTTGAGACACAGTCTTGCTCTGTTGCCCAGGCTGGAGTACAATGGCACAATCTTGGTTCACTGCAGCTTCCACCTCCCAGGTTCAAGGGCTTCTCCTGCCTCTGCCTCCTGAGTAGCTGGGACTACAGACACGTGTCACCATACCCGGCTAATTTTTGTATTTTTTAGTAGAGATGGGGTTTCACCATGTTGACCAGGCTGGTCTCAAACTCCTGACTTCAGGTGATTCCCCCCACCTCAGCCTCCCAAAATGCTGGGATTACAGGTGTGGGCCACCTCAACTGGCCATGATTCCATTTTACTCTCTAGCTTAAGAGGCTCCAAGGGCTTTCTGTCACGCTTAGAATAAAATCCTCATCCCTACCCTAGGAGGCATCTACCACCACTCAATTTTTTTTTTTTTTTGAACCAATATTCAGCCAAACAGCCTTTCTTTTTTTTCTTTTTCTTTCTCTTTTTTCTTGAGACAAAGTCTCACTCTGTCACCCAGGCTGCAGTGCAGCAGCTGCAGCACGCGACCCTCCCCCAGTGGTGCCCAGGGTTCCAATTTCTCCACATCATAATCTACACATGTTCCTTTCTGGTTTTTTTGGTAGTAGTCGCCATACTAATGGGTATGAGATGGGATCTCACTGTGGTTTTGATTTGCATTTCCCTAATGATTAGTGATGCTAAGCATCTGTTGGTGGCTTACTGGCCATTCATACATCATCTTTGGAGAAAGGCCTATGCAAACCCTCTGCCCATATTTGCATCGAGTTTTTTGCTTTTTTGTTGTTTTTATCCAAGCTGTTTTTTCTGGTGGGGAGAGTGGGTGTATTGGAGGCACCTTGTCTCTCCCAGAAGGAAACCGGAATTTCAGAGATGGCCAAGAGGGGGTGAGGCCGTGGTGCTCCCTCGGGCCTTTGAGGCCCCCCTGGGGAGAACTCACATTTTCCCAGGGCCCCATGTGTGTCAGCCACCGCACATCACAGCCATCTCTTTCTCACTCTTCTGGGCCATGCTATGACTTTGTTGACGAGGAGGCTGAGGCACAGAGGGGTGGGGATGTGCTGCAGGGCCCACAGCTACAACGACCAGAGCAGGAAACTGCACCAAGTCTGTCTGAAGAGGGCTCTCCCCTGGCCTCCGCTGCCTCCCTGGAGAATCTCAGAGACTTCTGATTAGAGCCTAGGTCTAAACCAAGTCCTGTTATTTTCAGGTGAGGGGAAGGGCTGACAATGGCCAGTGCTGGCCCAGCATTGTCTACCGCACCAGCCGAGGAGTGCAGGCACCCAGCAGCCACGTGGTGGCTTACTGATCCCCTGGCTTTCTGCTCCATCTGAAGGGGAAAATCTGGGGAAGGCAGGAAGGCCAAAGAGGCTCACCTCTTGCTTCCTACCACAGCTCATTTCCTAGGTCCTTTGCTGTGTGACTGCCTGGGTGGAAGCTTCTGAGTTCTCTCAAAAAAGAAAAAAAGTATGGTTTCTGAAATTCTGCACAGCTCGTCCTCTGAGGCCTAAACCTCCAGAAGACTCCTGGCCTCTCTTGAGAGGTCTTTCTTTGATGTGTTTGCATGTCTGCCAGGAAGCAGCAGTGGCGCCTAGATGTGGTGCAGCCAACCTCACCTGTGCCTCTCCCCACCTCCCCTGGGTGCATTTTCTCTTCCAGATTGCTGGAGTCGCCCACGAGAGCCACCCACCAAATTAGAGAGCCACAGCCACCCACCAAATCAGAGAGAAAGAATCCATCTTCTTACGATATGGCAGGTAATGATTCACTATGAAGGAGTGGAGGAGTAAGCCTTTTTTTTTTTTTCTTTTTTTTTTTTTTGAGATGGGGTTTTGTTGTATTGCCCCAGCTGGTCTCAACTCCTGAGCTCAAGTGACCCTCCCACCTTGGCCGTCCAGGTAGGAGTTAGACTCTTAATCAGAAATTGAATGCATTGTTTGTTATAAAAAATCCAAGCCACATGGAAGTATATAAACTATCTGGAATTATTTTGCTTTCTCTCTTTTTTTTTTTTTTAGACAGTTTCATTCCATCGCCAGGCTGGAGTGCAATGCTGCAATCTTAGTTCACCGCAACTTCCACCTCCTGGCTTCAAGCGATTCTCCTGCCTCAGCCTCCCAAGTAGCTGGGACTACAGGTGTGTGCCACCATGCCCAGCTAATTTTTGTGTTTTTAGTAGAGATGGGGTTGGGGCTTCATCATGTTGGCCATGATGGTCTCGATCTCTTGACCTCATGATCCACCCACCTCAGCCTCCCAAAGTGCTGGGATTACAGGCGAACCACTGCGCCGGGACTTGTTTTCTATTTTCTCATTTGTTTTATTATTCCTTTCAACTCCTTCCAGAATGTAAGTTCTTCAAAAATGGAGCCTTGCCTATCCTGTCTTTGTTCTGCTTCCAGGCCCTGAAATGATCCCTGGGTCATAGCAGGGGCTCACATGAATGAACGCAGAAGGTACCTTGGGTAAAAACTCAGTAGGATTCTATCTTTATTTTTGCAACTGCTTATCATGCACGTATACACGAACACACAATTTTGCCACTTCTTTATTTCACCTAACAGTATAACATGGAAAGCCTTTCATTTTAGAATACACAGATTCACCTTATTCTATATAGTGTAGATTAGGATTTTCGACCTTGGCACTACTGACATTTGGGCCAGATAATCCTGTTTTGGGGATTCTCCTGTGTGCTATGGGGTGTTTAGCAGCATCCCTGGCCTCTGCCCACCAGATGCCAGTAGCACCCCTCCCCCACCAGCTGTGACAAACAAAAATGTCTCCAGGCACTGAGAAATGTCCCCTGCAGGCAACACCGCCTCCAGGATGTTGAGAACTATTGGTGTACATATCTCATTTGTATCTATTCTCATGTTAAGCCCCTAAGTGGAGTTCCTTTATTATAATAGGAGTCTGAGAAAGTAAAATGTTAACCATTTATCTAACTTACGGAATTCAACCTTTGTACTCAGCTCGATGCCCTGAAACTCTTTGCTTCAAACTGATATGTGTATTTTCTCCCTAAGGGCTCAGTATAAAAATTTAAATCAAGAGTTTAACATCCTCTTAAAGGTTACCAGGGTAAATTTAATTAAGCAAATCACCAGGCTGCCTCCCAGAGGAAGTCAGTATATAATCCTGCAGACTCTTTCCAATGAAGAAAATACTGCTCCAGAGGCCGCTGGTGTGAATGATACAGCCGGTGCCCCGGAACCGAGCGAGCATGAAATCACCACCGAGACAAAGGCCAAATTGCAGGGTCTTTATCGCCGGTGGCCACGGAGGACTTGGGTCTCTCTAACCAGCGGCCCCGAAAGGAGGACGTCAAGACATTTTATGCCCATAAACCACCTCCTGGATGGGGGTGAGGGTGAGGGGCTTCAGACATTCCGAGGGCCAGGGGACTTCGGGCATTCCAATTGTCACTTAAGTGGTTTACAGAAGTCAAGATAAGCGTTAGTTTACACATTGTCTGGGTAGGGTGGTAGTTACACACCTTAGTTACTTATTACAAGTCACAGGGGCCAAGATGGCTTGAGTTTGGACTGCTTGCTTGTCACATTAGGGTTATAGAGAGCAGTTTCGACGGAAAGCCGAGGTATGGTAGAGATATGCAGTTTATGGGGCAATTGCCATGTCACATTCCCCCCATGTTTTACTTACAGGAATTAAATCACTGATTCCTCCAGCAGATTAGTATTGTTTGTTTGTTCTAAGGGCGCATATTGAGACCTTAATATCATTAATTTTACAGAGTCTACCCTACATTTTATCAACCTGAGCAATTGGTTTAGGAGGCAGGGGCCAAGCATGAGTCCCAGCGGGAGTAGGGCCAGAGGTCCCACCAGGCCCATAAGGAGGGAAGTGAGCCAAGGGGACCAGGAAAACATTTTCTGATACCAACTTGAAGCCTCTCGAAGTTGTTTTCTGGTTTCAAGATTTTGTCTGACCAGGGAGAGGCTCTCTCGGATGAGGCCTGACCTATTAAGCATAGAAGCAACATTGTTCATTAAGGGGGGCACATAACCCCCCCCCCTTGTTTTAAGAATAACAAATTTAGTCCTCCCCTGTTTTAGAGGACCATTTTAGCCGAAGACTCAACCTGATCAATGAGTTGGGAAATGGAGTTTTCCAAGTGGCTTAAATCCATATCTATGTGCTTAGAGAGAGTTTTAAAATTTTGGTCCCCAGTTATAAGAGCTGATATTATAACTGCGGTGGAGCCAGCAATGCCTAATCCAACCATCAGAGGGATGACAATAGGGATTTACAGCACCGATTAGGGTGGCAAGGGTAAGAGTGCACAAGTCTTAGCATTAGTGAAGCGGGGGATGAATGTTTGACGCTCCATTGTCCTTCCGGTGGGGCAGTCTTGACATGGATGTGATGAGTCCAGGCCTTGAGTGCAGTGGGTGTGGTCAGGATAACCGTGTACGGTCCCTTCCAATGGTGGGGTGAGGCCGGAGGTGGCAAATCTTTTAACAAGGACAGAGTCTCCAGGCTGGAAGGGGTGTGTCAGCTGGTCTTCGAGGTCCAATGGTGTGGGATGGGTGTCCTTAATGAGCTGGTGTATCTGGAATTGAACAGACTGGAGCCCGTGTAAGGACTTGAGGAGTGTATAGTTATGGACTTCAGCATGCACGGCATCTGCGGGTCTGGGGAGTAAGCAGGGCGGGGGGGGCCTGCCGAACATGATTGTAAAAGGGGAGAAGCCTTTCTGATAGGGGGTGCATTGGACACAAAGGAGGACAAAGGAAGCAGGCTGACCCAGTTTTCACCGGTCTCTAGGATAAATTTTGTTAGGGTTTCTTTTAGGGTCCGGTTCATTTGTTTGACCTGTCCTGAACTCTGGGGACAATAGACACAGTGTAATTTCCAGGATATACCAAGGTCCTAGGCCTTGGCTAGGCCCTGAGAAATTTGTGCAGTAAAGGCGGGCCCACTGTCCTACCCCGGCGTTAGAGGGAGGCCAAACTGAGGAACAAGGTCCTATAATAGTTTTTTTGTGACCACCAAAGCAGTCTCGGACCTAGTGGGGAAGGCTTCAACCCATCCAGAGAACATATCTATAAACACCAGGAGGTATATATAGCCATTTTCTGGGGGTTTTATTTCAGTGAAATCTACTTCCCAGTGCTCCCCAGGACTAGTCGCTCTGAGTCCTGCTCCTACCTGGCTAGACCTGTTCCCTCCCAGATTAACTTAGGTACATACATTACACCTTGATAAGTTCATGTAAACGGGGAATGTAGTATTTGGCTTTTAGCAGTTCAGTTAGTTTGGTCTGTCCTGAGTGAGTGGCCTGGTGTGTGTCCTTAACTAGGGCCCATCCTAGAGGCTCGGGCACCACAATGCTTCGGTCTGGCAGTATCCTCCATCCTGTGGAGCCCTGTATGGCACCGTGTTCCTTTGCAAAGTCCTTCTCACCTGAGGAGTACGTGGGAGTAGGGGGCAGAACTGGGGTGGGCAGGGTTACAAGGAGGGTCAGTGGTTTCACTGGCCCATGGCTGCCTGCCTGGCCTGTAAGTCAGCAGCCCTGTTTCCCCTTGCCTCTGGTGAATCCCCCTTTTGGTGTCCCTTGCAATGGACTAGTGGCACAGTCTTGGGCTTCCATATAGCCTCCAGCGGGGCTAGAATTTCTTTATTTTTATAGCTTTTCCTTCTGAGGTAAGTAGTCCTCTTTCTTAATATATTGCTCCGTGTGCATGAGCTGTAGTGAAGACATCACAGCTGTCAGTATAAATAGTGAGAGTCTTTCCCTCTGCCCAGTTGAAGGCTTTTATCAGGGCTCTAAGTTCAGCCGTTTGGGCTGATGTTCCATGAGGAAGGGCCTGGGCCCAGATGACCCGCTCTAGGGTAACTACAGCTGCCCCTGCATACCTGACTCCATTGACCGGAAAACTGCGGCCATCCATATACAGTACCTTTTCCGGGTTCCATAAGGGAAAGTCGGTGAGGTCCAGTCGAGAGGTTTGGATGACATCTATTATCTGTTGACAGTCATGTGTGGGTTCTTCTGGCTCACTATGCGGCAGCAGTGTGGCTGGATTGAGGACTGTAGTCTTCAGGAACTTGATGCAGGGCTGGTCCAAGAGTAGAGCCTGATACTGTACTATGCAGGCTGGCCACCCAGAGGCTACAGGGTCAAGTCTTTCTGATAGGTAGGCGACCGGCCTGGACCGTGGTCCTAATGTCTGCGTGAGCACCCACTTCGCGATTCCTTGTTTTTCATGTACAAACAACTGGAAAGGTTTAGAAATATCTGGCAAGGCCAGGGCTGGGGCCGAGGTCAGAGCGACTCTAAGTTTATCAAAAGCCTGTTGTTCTACTACTGCCTAAATTAGGGGTTGACTCCCTCCTGTGCAGGGGGACAGAGGCTTGGCTATTTCGGCAAAACCTAAAATGCATAGCCTACAGTACCCTACTGCCCCAAGGAACTTTCGAACTTGGCGTTTTGTGGTAGGAGTGGGTATCTGTAGTACTGCTTGGACTCGGCTGGGTGCCAGCGCCTGGTTGCCTTTTTCTATGATACAGCCCGGGTAAGTAACCTTTTGTCAGACCTGGGGGATTGGTCTCAGCCCACACTCCGGGTACACTCTCCTGGAATTGGCAGAGGAGGTCTGACATTGATGCCTGATTTGTTTCCGGTGATAAAGCTTCCTGCAAGAGATACTTGTCTGACAGAGCACAAGTGATGAGGATTTGCTGAGGTGCTTTTGATACGGAGGGCAAAGGGGGGATAGAGAGGCGGGCCTGATTTTCGCAGAAGGAGATGGTTGCTTGGTTTGTGAAGTAGGTCCCACCCTAATAGCGGGTAAGGGCATTCTGGAAGAACTAAGACGGAATGGGTAACTGTGCCATTTCCTAAGTCAACGACTTGATTTGTGGTCCATCAACTTGTCGTGGTCTTTCCTGTAGCCCCCTGGATGACTGTTTTCCTACTGGATAGTGGTCCCAGAGGCTGAGTAAGCACTGAGTGGGCCACCCTGCTGTCTACTAAAAAACTGATAGGTTTTCCCCCAGTCTTTAAAGTAACCCTGGACTCCTGGGGCGCTTAATAAGAGCCCCGGCCCTGTTAATCCTGACCTTCTAAATTGATAGCCCTCGGTGCTTTTCCTGAGCAGTTACTTGTCT